TTGATTCCCCCAGTTGTACCCCCCCCCCCCCCCCAGTATGTATGATACATGCATATTCTTAGCCTCCAAGTACATAACCTTACATTTATCAACATTAAACCTCATTTGCCACATAGTTGCCAATTAAACAGTGCATTGAGGTTGGTTTGTAAGTTGGAAACATCCTGTTTATAGACACAGACAGTGCAGCTCAGCCCCCCCCCCCCCCCATTACTGGATTTAATTGACAGCAGCATAAGCCACTGGCTTCCTCTGCTATCAGAGGACTTTAATGAGGAGGGAGAGAGTGAGCAATGCTGCTACTCTTGAGCACAGTGCTGGATCAAGATCAAGCTTAGGTAAGTATTTAAGGGGAGCTGTACGTAATAGCTTTCTTACCTAAATGCAAAGAATGCATTAGGATAAAAAAACCTTTAGCCTTTCCAACCACTTTAAGGGCTCCATTTATAACATTTAGCTTTGCGAATGTCTGAACATTCGTGTAAGTATAAGAAATATTATGTTTTTAATATGTGTGTAATAGCTTCCTTGTTGCCTTTTGCTGGGCAAAAGCAGCAGTCTAACATTTGACCATTCACCAGTAGAGAAAATAGCCTAACACTATATGCCAAGAACATTCAACCAGCAGTGGAAATTGTATGAGGGGAACCTCTGCACTGTATACTATCTATGTAGAATCCTGTGCAAACAGCCAAATTAATGTTTTGCCAAAGGAATCTATAGCTGCAGTGTGAAGTGAAACATTTAGTGGTACTATACTCCTGGTTGTTAGGGAGCTGGCACCCGCCAGCTTCCTAACAACCTGTGACTTATCCCAGCCTGGCACATTCAGCTGTCAGCCAGGATTCCAGACTGACAAGTGAATGAAAACAAACAGCAGGGATAGTAAAAAAAAAAAAACAGTATGAGGTCCCCTTAAAATTCATACGAGACCCTTATCCAGGCATGCAGCCTGGGTGGCCAGTAAAGGGGGGGGGCGGCAAGCATGCGCCCCCACCTTCTCGAATCATATTAGACCACATGCACTCGGCATGGGGTGGGGGTACCTTGCCGTGGGGGGAGGGGTCCCATGGCAAAGCACTTGGCCCCATGTTGATGAGGACAAGGGCCTCTTCCTCACAACCCTGGCTCCATGGTTGTGGGGATCTGCATGCAATGGGCTTATCAGAAATTGGAAGCCCAATTCACAGTAAGGGTACTCCCAGATACTGATCCCCTGAATAAATGAGTATGGGGTGCATTGTACCCCTATTCATTCAGAAAAAATAAATAGTAGGGTTCTCCCCACATTCCATACCGGTTGTGTCTGGTATGAATTTTAAGGTGGAACCCCAGGCAAATAAAGTAAGTAAAAAAAAGATTGAGGTCCTCAAGCTTATCTGAGCCTGGCAGGCCAAGATAGGGGAAGACGTCCATGCTTCTCCCCTTCTGAATAATACTAGGCCACATGTCCTTAACATGGGAGAGGTACCTTGTCAGGGTTGATCCCCTTAGTACTTTGTCTCAGTGTTGATTAGAATAAGGACCTCTTTCCCACATCCCTGGTCTGGTAAATATAATAAGGGGAGCCCCAGATACCAGTCCCCCCTAAGTAAATGACTAGGAATTCACCCAAAAAGAGGAACAATAAATAAAGACGCTTACACAGTTTTTACACAGTTCTTTATTACAAAATAAAATGCCCTAGGATGTAACAATCAATCATCAATCACGTCATCCAGCAATGTAGATCCACATCAGTCATGAAGGATGGTGCCCAACGCTTCTTTAAATGTAGCACTTACCCTGAAGGAGCCACTTAATGTAACAGGCCTTCTGTTACTCTGGCAACAGCTAAGTACTCTCAGACACACCTGGTTGGGCAAAAGACAGCTGCAGACACCTAAGCATGCATAAATATAACTATCCTGCACATGTATGGAAAAACACCAGGAATTGACACCAAAACTAGCTGACTGCTGTCACAATCATGCACACAGGGAGAGGTGCGGTTTCTCCATTTTGCTCCAAACTTCTGCATTTTGGTATTTCTTTTAAACTACTATGCTATCACTTGAGGGGGGGGGGGGGGGGTGTAGCAGCCGTGGACAGTAGAGCCAGGCACAACTCTCACTGTGTTAAGTCTTAATGTTATCCCCTCATTCCCCCTCCCTCAGGAATGCAATCAGTGTATGATGCTGAGCCCCTGCCTAACAGTCCTCTGCCCAAATAAGGCTTGGCTTGTCCGTTGTAGGAAGATACCAGTTGATTTTGGGTAGAAAAAGAAGCTGTTATGCTTTGTGTGTAAACAGAGAAGTGAGGACCATCTGCGTTTCAACATCTAGCAGACAGAGAGAAAGCAAAGTCTCCTGCGATGAACCAACGAAACTAGAAGTCGAGACCAGAAATCCTTTTCAAGCTCAGACTTGAAATTGCTTAACCCCAGGCATCTTTGTGGTCAAGTACTTATTTACCTAAACTTCATTCTGTTATCTGTTTGCTGTGCTGTTGTGCTCTGTATATATATATATATATATATATATATATATATATATATATATATACACAGTATATATATATATATATATATATAGGGTACATCTTTTTTCTGTAAATATTTCTACCGCACCCTTATGACCTTTTAGTAATAAATCTTACTTTCTGAAAGTGTTGAACTGTTTCTATAGCTCTTGAATGTAACTTACAAATCCCTGCCACTAAAGAGCGCTACTATGAGTGTTTAACCCTCTGTATAACCTGTCTGTGGAGATAGCGGTATACCGACGAGTAACCAATCATCCTAGTGTAATGTTGAGTTTCATCTTTCTCTGTACAAAACGGAGGTGGTGGCAGTGTGAAGGGTTAATTAAGTAATTAACCTGACCCAGTAACAAACACTCCCAGGCTGCAGGCACGTCGATTGGGGTCCAATTAGCTGGAAAATTGGTGTGCAGGGTGCAGCTGGGTGTGGCATTGTTACACAGGTGACAATTTTAGATTGGCTAGTCCTTAGGTCAGGAGTTTGGTGAGAAGGGTTGGGGTCTGACGCCACGCCCGTCACAACTGCAAGTAGAGTATATTGTCACAGGTTAAGGATAAGCAACTGTGCAAGAGAAAGGGTTATTACTCAAACTGAATTAACAGTTATTAGTTTTTTTATTAGCCTTAGGTTATAGTGATTCCCACTTGGCAGTTATACCACATAATACATCAAACAAACAATAATATCAGCAATAAAACAGTATCAAGAATGATAAATTAATAACGAAACAGTTAATCTGTCTGGTAGCAATTAGTGAATGTCCCCAAAGTGCACCCAATATTTAACCTGCAAAGGATGTCTCTAGCTATAAGGAAACTCTGTGGATGATCTCCATGACAGCTGTTAGCAGTTAATCAACTCCTTGCTCTCAACCTTCTGCTGGCTATGTGGTGAGGCCCAGCCTTTATGGTGGTGCACTTAAGTATCATCCCATTAAGGATTCTTCATGCAGTAGTATAATGTTCCCAAGTGAAAGTTAGTCTCCCTCTGCTAGCAGCGGTAATGTAAAAAATAACAAGCGGTCACTCACCAGTCTTGTACAGTGAATGCCGGTCTAGGAGCTTGGCAACAGACAGTATCCTCAGTGTGAGTCTCCTCTGCTTAACTGGCTTCCAACAGGCTAGGTTGTGGTCTCTTGCATAGAGATGATGCCCCTATGCTCTTTTAACACCTTCTACTACACAAAAGCTTTACTTACATTATTAATCATACAATGAAACACATAATAATGACCAGAAAAAATAAAACTAAAATTGAAGTGTCCATTTGTGCCCCTCACATTAGTAGTCAGTGGTGTTACTCTGTACATTGGTTACGTTGTATAAAAATGTCCCCTTATATAAGTAGTCAGTGGAGTGCCTCTTTACATTGGAAGTCAGTGGAAAAGTGCCCCTATAAATTGGTGGTCGACATAAAAGTGCCTCTTTTCGTTGGTGGTGCACATAAAAGTGCCCCTATAGAATTTGAATCCCTAAGTTTTACCACTGCATTGTCGATCAGTAAGCTAATGCCTTTGTGTAACATATACCAATGTGTTTTTTGTCTGGTTTTTATTTTTAAGGTACTTTTATTGTAATGTTATTTCCTCAATGAAAATTTCTTTTACCGTAACCTGAAGACCTTTAATAAAAAAGAGATTATACATAAAAAAGCCACTATACATTGGTGGTCCACATAAAAGTGCCTCTATTTGGTGGTGGTGCACATAAAAGTGCCCCTATACATTGGTGGCCCATAAACTGTAAATGTGCCTCCTTACACTAGAGGTCAGAGGAAAAGACATTTACATTGGTGGTCATTAGAATAGGTGATCTTCTACAGTGAAAGTAATGACCCATTAATCTGTTAGCAATTGGAGGGAATGTTAGGTTACATTGCTCATGAAACCCTTAGCAATCTCTGGGGGAACCCCAGAGTTTCACAAAATACTGTCTGGGAAAGGTTGATCTAGACAGTGGAGGTCAATTATTAGCTACTCTATAATGAAAAATCTACTTTATACTGTTATTATTTAAGGGTTAACAAAGGATGTATAATCAGTATCTCACAATTCTACAGCTGAGCAAAACTAATATATATTTGTTTCAAACTAACTATAGCTACATATCAGGTTTTCTGAAACCTTAGTTCTTGGTGCTGAACTGATAATATCTACAGATCTGAGTAATATTTAACTAAATAAAAAAGTGAAAGATAGAAGACTGTTGTAAAACAATCAAGCAATACTATTGGCCAGTTGTCAGCCATAGGTCTCACCCGAGAACTTGTGAAGACACGATTTATAGTCTGATAGCATCTCGATAAATCTTTTTGCACTTTGGGGCCGCTACGGCTGTATACACAATATACAATATCTACCAGTCCCCTTATGCTGCCAGCTTATATTGATTGAAATCTGTGCTTACTAAATGGATGCAATATAGAAATTGTACATATTTAAATAACTGGAAAAGAAAGCAACAAGGCAGACAAGATGACGATGTTTGAAAAACCTTATATCAGTAACTTTTCCGTGTGGGACTATGTTGTGTTTGGTGCCCTCTTAGTTGTTTCGGCAAGCATTGGAGTCTTCTTTGCAATTAAAGAAAGGAGAAAAAAGACATCCAATGAATTCTTGGTCGGTGGGAGACAGATGACCTGTGGACCTGTGGCTCTATCACTAACTGCTAGTTTTATGTCTGCAATTACCGTTCTGGGGGCTCCATCAGAAGTTGTCCGATATGGAGCACACTACCTCTGGTTCCTTATTGCCTATACTTTTGTGATCACAATTTCTGCTGAACTCTTTGTACCAGTATTCTACAGGTCTGGGATTACTAGCACTTATGAAGTAAGTAACAAGCAAATAAACATGATTCATCAAAATGAAATCTAAAACTATACAATAAACCCTAAATGAAGCAACATATTAAGTTTCCTTAGGGCACCTTCTAGTGTGGCTTACAAAGTATTGTCTTTATTTGATGAAGTTGAGACAGTTGAGTTCATTTAGATGCAACCAGAGTGGAAGTGGCCAGAAAGTGGAGCCCGTCCCTTGGTTACTCAGCTATTTAGAAGCTCACTAAACTAATGGGATCCATTGATGAGCAAATATTACATTTACACATTAGAGCATTAAGACCCTATTCATTTTAACAATCTTACACAAATACTACCAATTTTTTCTTACATGGTGCATGTGAACTATCCTAGCATACTTCTTTAATTTAAATTCTAGTTGTCTATGGATGAGTAGTTTCGAAATTATCAACTAGGAACAAGCTTGCAGATTAGAGAGTCAGAATGATGTATGACGTATGAACTCCCAATGTGCATGCTTGTTTGGGCCAATGACACTGAAAGTTTTGAAGCCTGTAGAATTTCATGATGGCCAAGAAATTTGTATTTTCAGAACAAGGATAAACATATATTTTTTTTAGAAAACAGGGATTTTGCAAGCACCAAAATATTAAAAAAAAAAAAAGGAATTTGTGTAAAACACCATTTTATTAAATCCAATCTTAAAAACAAGAAGAAAGATATATTATACACAATATTATACAAAGATGGTGATGATTTGGCTGCATTTTACCAAATTTGTATTTTTATGGAACCAATGGCAGCCTTCATATTTTCTCTGAATGTTTCCTTTACAACAAATGTGATCTTTTGAAATGTATTTTTAGGATTAATATTATTTTAGTTATTAGTTTCATTATCTAGACATCCATGTTTACAGAATATAACATATGCAAATTGACCTGACCTTACCTTGACATTAGATTATTGCTTTGCTACAAGCAAGTTAATTATGATTAACCCCTTCCCGCCACTGCCTCCCGACCCTTTAACAGGATCTAAATACAGGGAGAGGAAGGCAGGAATTCCAATCATGTGACTACTGTGATTGGCAGTCACAGCAGTCACATGATCAGAAAGCGACCGATTGCTAGTATGCATTGGAGCTTGTTACTGTGCTGGGAGCATGTAAGGAGTGTGCTCTCAGCACAGAAAGGTGTTTACCTAGAGATGCATATACGCAGCCACTCGACGTTAAATCGCACATGCGGAGAGGCCATATATATGCACCAGGTGGACGGGAAGTGGTTAAAAGATCTCCATCTGACCTACATTTGACCTGGTAATTATATGGAAATGCAAATGCTGCTGGAAAATAACTTTGCAAAGAACATTTACTTACAGTAAACGTTTACTGACACAGGTTTTTACTGTAATTAAATTCTCTTTTACAAAGTGCACAAGTGCTCATTATTCCTTGCTAACTATTTCTACATAAAGTTTATGTATAAAAAAATTCACAGTGCGAATGCCTGAAGCATTTGCACATCTACCACATATAAATACTGTATTGTGTCTAAAATGTTTATTTCTCATAATAGTCAACTCCATCTAGTGGCCACAATGTGGTACTTTTCTGAAATGCCTCAATCAGGAAAATGCTGCATTATGGCCACAAGGTGTAGCTGACGATCTTAGGAAACAAACACATTAAACACAATATAGAGATTATTTGTGGCATGATGGCTGTGGGAATGCTTAAAGCGGAGCTCCACTCAAAAGGGGAAGTTCTGCTTTAAGCCTTTGCCCCCCGATCCCCATTAAGGATTGGCACCTTTGGGGAGCGGGTACCCGAATTTGACAGGTACCCGCTCCCACTTCCACTGCAATTGCTTAGGCAATTGGAAGATGTTGTCCTCCCCCCCCTCTCTTCCAGTAGTCTTCTGGGACACATGATAGGTCCCAGAAGACTACGGGGCCATTCACAAAGTACAGCGCTTCTCGCGCATGCACAGTGGGCATTGGGCTGTGAAGCAGCAAGATGTCACAGCCAGGTGCCCACACTAAAAGATGCTGGTGCCAGGGAGAGAAGATGGCTGGTGAAACCAGCCATAGTGAGGATACCGCTGGACCAAGGAACAGGTAAGTGTCTGTATTTTAAAAGTCATCAGCTGTAGTTTTTGTAGCTGCTGACTTAAATGTTTTGTTTTTAGCTGGAACTCCGCTTAAAGCTAGGTTCACATATGTGGTATAGCTGTGGATCTACACCAAAATCCTTGCAGCCGCACCACCCGCACAGAGGAATGCGGACCCGCGGGCGGGTGCCATTAGTTCTAATAGCACGCCGCCCGCACTGGAAAACGCAACCATACTGGGAACCAAGGTTCCCTGTGCAGTCTGAGTTTTCTGAAGAAGTGTAGGGACTTCTTCCCTACATGTCACAGGGCACGGGAGTCCATTCAAATCAATGGGCTCTCGTGCCCGTGCAAAACATGGCCCGCACGACCACATATATGTGAATCAGGGGTAAGGCATTTGCACAGCGAATTGTTGTATAAATATATTCCATAAATTGACATAAAATACCAATGTCAAATTAAATGTGTTATATTGTTGATTTTGTATAGTCTAATATTTTTCATTAAAGTAGAATTCCAAAGCTAACTAATCTTAAAAATGTTCCCTCCCCCCCCTCCTAACACCTATGTTGACGAACCTGAAAGATGAATATACTTAACTATTTTCAGGCCGCTCTGGTCCAGTCACATAATCTGGCTCTCCTGTGTCAGTCAACAGTGGCTTCAGGGGAGAGGAGGGAGCACCAACACTGGAAGGACCATAGGAGTTTATGGGGGATGTCACAACTCCCAGGCATTCCAGCCATTGTCAAGTGCTCTCTCATGCAGACACTGCTGGCTGACATAGGGGCGATCTTGTAACTGGACTGGAGTGCCCTGAAAATAGGCAAACATGTAGATTTTCTTCTTATAAAGGTTAGTCAGCATAGGTGTTAGGAGGGGGGGAGGAGGCAGTTTTAGAAATAGGGATAGCCTGGAATTCAGATCCAGCATTGTATGCAATTCCAAGTTATGTATTTATTCACAGTAATCTAACATAAGATATTTTTGTTTCCTTCAGTACCTGGAATTTCGGTTTAGCAGAGCTGTCCGTTATTTTGCTACTATTATGTATATTTTACAAACGGTAAGATTCTCATATATTGAAGGGAACACTATCAGAGAAAGTAATGCTTAATGGAAACAATACAATTCTGAATCCACAAGTTATAAAAATAGGTTCACAGTAACCACAAATACAAGTTCTAAAAAAATAACTGAAGTTATTCACGAGTTGCAGGAAAGAAAATCACTAGATTCCCCCATCAACACAGTCAGTATTGATGGAGGAATCCCTCCATCAGTATTGATGTCAGTCAGTATTGGTGGGGGAATCCTGGAGCCATTGTGTTCTCCCGGCAGGGGGGCGGGGAAGCTGTCCCTGCCGGAAAAAGACAGTAATTACTGCTAGCGGCTGTAATAGCCACTAGCAATATTTGCATGTAAAATCTGACAGGCTGGTTGTACCCAAGTTGATCGATCGATCAACTTGGGTACATTCAGCCTGCCCATACATGGTTCGAATCCTGGCCGGTCCCTGCTGAACTGGCTGAAATTTGAACCATCTATGGCCGGCTGAACTCAAAGGTTGTGCTTTAATGTAGTCTTGTATCCATGCCTCATCATTTTGAAAGATATAGTTGATGTGATTCTTTCCTTTTTCCTAAAATGCCAGTTATTTTCCTTGCTTATCTACCTTAAATAAAGCATATATACATCCAGAGATGTATTTTTGAGTATGGAACCTTGGTCAGGTTGATAATTTTCATCATATTGTGGAGATTTACTTTTACTTTTATCCCATTTGAAGATTTCTCCTCAGCTCCTGTTTTGGTGACAACTAAAATTGTGCATTTCAAATTACTTTCTGTCCCAGGAATACTGATCACCTGGGCCAACAGAGAGGAGCAGCAATAAATATTTGATGAGGTTTTCAACACTTCCATGCTCCATTCAAAACTAGACATGTAGGGGTCGTGTTTTCAGCTGATACTTTTAGAGGACAGGTATGGGACATCTGATCAAAAAGGCATAGAAGAGTAAGCAATAACATTCTATCATCAGAATCCTACTTTCCTACATGAGAAGGCACACTTCTTAAACAAAACAGGACTCCAATAGAACATGTTGGTGGTACATAATGTTCTCGTGCAGTACTGACTTTATTAGGATCTATCAGAAGGGAGACTTTTCCCAAAAGGCTCTATTTTCTGTTGATACAAATAAAAATAAAAACTGGTTCTATAGCATTTTGGAACTTTTCAGATCATCGCATCCTAGGTTTGTTTAGCTTCATAAAAGAACATTTTGAGGCCAGTATGAAAAGGTCTGATAACTGCCCCTTGGTAATCACCGAGGCCTCAAATATAAAATAAAGAATTGAGGTAAATCGTCTCCAAAGTTGTGTTGTGCAAAATTTGCAGTTGTGCTCCAAAGCACAACTTTTCCCTTTTCAATTTGAACAGACTAAAGAGTGTTTAGAACTCCTTTCTTAATTTGATTGTGTTCCTGCTGAGAGCTTCACAATTTCTGTCTGTCCCGGTGACTACTGCTGGATTTTAAGTGACAACTCTTTAAGAGAGGATTTTCCTCCCTTGGGAGGAATTTTCAGACTTCAGAGGACAAAAAAAAAATCTCTAAAACAGGGATTCTCATCAAAGGGACAAATCTAAATTAAAAAAAGAACTTTTGACTTTATATGTAGTTTAGCACCTAACCTATCCTATAAGGCAATCCCCTAATATTTACTCCACACTCCAACACTACACACCTAAAACTAGACCAAAAATCACTGTAGCCTTTGAGTTATCACTGGCCTCCCTAGCGCTTAACCCTTGACCCTATTCGGGGTTCAGCAAACCCAACCCCTAAAGAGAGCAGTAGTGATTAGCAAGCCAAAAAAAGTTCAGTTTGATGGACATTCCCTAAGCACTGGAAAAAAATCTTGTAATGTCTAAGTCTAAAGCTGCGCATAGATGGATTGAATGTCAGTCTGCATGTGGTTCTTCCTATTTGACAGATGTCATTCATTAGATCAACTTCTGTTGAATGGACATGCTGTAAAAATGGTCTTGATCAGTGGCTGCAGCCACAGATCATTGTACAGTGGTACCTCGGTTTACGAATGCCTCGGTTAACGTAATTTTCGGTTTGCAAATTAAAATCCATTGAAAATGATGCCTCGGTTTACAAATTGTTTTCGCAATACGAAGCAAGTTTCCCCAGGATGCATTGCACCTGGGAAGTTTATAGTACTGCCCCCCATGCATGCTGGATTCTGTGGGTAGTCTGTGGGTAGCACGTGGCATCGAGTGTGGAGGTGTTTTTCAATGCATTCCTTTGGGAAACCGCTTTTTTTACAAATTTTTCACAATACGAACGTCCCGGAGAACACATAAAATTTTTAAACCGAGGTACCACTGTATTTTGACAGCAGCGGGAGCCACTATTAGCATTCAATATCCCAGGGGGACATCCATCCATTTGCTGGTGTGCATGGAGGTATCTGTTAATTTTTTTCTTGTTCAACTGACCGCTTATGCCCAGCTTAAGTCTATCTTAACTTTTAGCTTCTCCTAACATAGGACCCAAGCTGAATACTAACCTAACCCCTAAACTAAGCCTTAACACTAGCTAATCCATATTCTGGCCACTCAACAAGGGTTCCATTCAGACAATGCTTTGTATTTTTTCAATAAATATAAAGCATTGCCTGAGTGGAAAAAGTGGACAGTGGAAAGCTAATTCAGGCCTCTTCACCTGTATTCCCTACCCGTTTTAACTGTTGGACTGCAGATTCCCCATCCGAAAGTTAAATGAAAACTAAGGGGCTTGGGATAGTGGTGATGCCATGATCCATATATGGCAATGCCCATATTTGGGAAATGACTTGTCAATAGGTGGGAGGAGTCTGATGGAGAACTGAAAGAATTGTTCTACATCAGGTCCGCTTTACGTTTGATTGGCAGTGCACGGTAGTGGGTGGATTCAAAAACTGCTATTGTAATAAATAGCAGCCATGGATCCACCCACTGCCATGTGCTGTCAATCAAAGTAAAGAGGACCTGATAAGCTATTCTGTTAGTTACCCATCAGGCTCCACTCACCTCTTCTACAAAATGTCTTGGACATATGCCTGTGACAGCACAGTGGCTGGGAGGGAGTGTTGGGCATCGCTAGATTTTTATACCTGTCAGGTACATGAATTGGGTGCAAGCACTGAAACTTTCAGTGCTGCGCCCCAATGTAGCTCTAACGATTATCTTTTTGAATTCTCTAGAATATGTTTTAAAAACTTCTGGTTTTTTTTTTGAAGAGTTTGCACACAATCTTATAGGAAAACTCCACTTTTGTTAGAAAAAAAAAGTAATATAGCATATAAAATTGGTTCACAATTCATTTTGTAATTTAATGTAATAAAATTACCATTCCATATCAATCTACAGCTGCTGTTATGTTTTAAAAAAACTTTAACAAAAATTCAGTGGCAACCTGGAAGGGTTCTGTATGCTGTTGGAGTTCAAAATAAAATTAGCAACTTTAAAGTGTTACTAAACCCACAACCGTAAAATCAATCTGTATATACAGTAAAGCATGCTTGTTATACTTACTGTGGAACCTAAGGAGTTAATCATCTGCACTGTGTAAAAAAACACTGTTTTATCCTGTCTTCTCTGATCCTCCTCTTCTTCCAGTGTCCCCCTCTTTTCTCCTGATAAGAAATATGTGTGGAGTAACTCATGCTCAGTTTGGTGTGTATTGCAAGAGAGTGTTTTTTTTTTTCTTGGGAGAGTGCGCATGTGATCAGCACAGGGCCAATCAGTACTGTCCAGAAATGAGGTCAGGGGTTTTGCATCCTCCTAGAGCAGAAAGAAAACTCCTCCTACAACCTTTAACCAGTACTCTGCTGAAATCACGAGACTGCTCTAACTGCTAATGAGAAAAGGTATTTAGCAGTTTATATTTACTAAAATAATTGAATTTCCATGTTGTGTGCACTGTGGGAGACCAGGTATAGTGAATGCAGGGTCCTGGGTTTAGTGACACTTTAAGTACAGAATGCCCCAGAATTCTAATTTCCTGCTTGATTGGCTCACTGATTTTCTCATATGTCTGCACTATTATAAAAGTAAAATATTTGGTATCCTCTCCAATTTTATTTTTGGTGAGGTACTGCTAAAGGGATACAGACATGGCAACTTTCATCTTTAGTACACTGAGAGTATACTAGGTCAGTGGTCACCAAAGTGCAACCCGGGGGCCGAATGTGGCCCTTTGCTTGTCTTTATTTGGCCCTTGGGGCACTATTCTATCCACTGACACCAGAAATGGGGCATAATTTCTGTTGCTGATACTAACACTGGGTCAGTATTCCTCCCACTGACACCAACAATGGGGCATAATTCCTTCCAGTGATACCAACGATGGGCCAATATTACTCCCACGGAAACCAATAATGAGGCACTATTCCTCCCACTGACAACAAAGAAAGGGCACAATTCCTCCCACTGGCACCAACAATGGGGCATAATTCCTTCCAGTGAGGCACTATTACTCCCACTGACCCTAGTCTGCCCCCCTAAATTCTTAAGGACAGTAAACTGGCCCTTTGTTTAGAAAGTTTGGAGATCCCTGTACTAGGTGATTAGAATAGTCTGGAAAACACACAGTGAGACAAACAAAATTTTTTGGCAACAAGGTAAAAAAGGTAGGAATCTGCAGCAAAGTTTGCTAAAATCCTTGCAACGTACAAAGATCAAACAGAGGGGAATGTATTTTTTTTTCTCAGCAAAAGTAAAGTTAACATTTTATTACTGTGCATATTTAACTCTTTCAGTAAATTTCATGATAGCAGGTAGACCCTTCTTACTCTGTTTTGTAATTATCTTTTACAGATCCTCTACACTGGAGTAGTAGTATATGCACCAGCTTTGGCCTTGAATCAGGGTAAGTTAGTGATATCAACGTTTTTACCTTGTCTTTACATTATAGGAATCTAGTGTAATTTTTTTTGCATTTAGAATAATCAATAATAGAAAATTTGAATTATATAGACTTTTCCTTCTTCCTCTATATTATAAAGGCAAGACTGAATTTTATCAGACCCTTTATGTCAGTGGTTCTCAACCTTCCTAATGCCGTGACCCTTTAATACAGTTCCTCATGTTGTGGTGACCCCCAACCATAAAATTATTTACCCAGTAATTATAATTCATGAGTGTCGTTTTACCTCCAATACTGCTGCTTTCAACACAGTAGCTGCTTTTAACAGAGTAGCTGCTTTCAACACAGCAGCTGCTTTCTACACAGTAGCTGCTCTTTACACATCGGAAATATGTGTTTTCTGATGGTCTTAGGGGACCCCTGTGAAAGGGTCGTTCGACAACCAAAGGGGTCGCGACCCACAGGTTGAGAACCACTGCTTTATGTAATATAAAGAGGTAGCTACCTTAGGAATACCAGACTTGGCCCACTGCACAAGCCTTCCCACAATAGGGAATTGTGGTGTCAACATTCCGGCCTCACGTTTAAACCGAATGCTTAGGATAAAGCTGTAACTGTATAATTTAAACTTTTATATGCTTTTAATGTATTGGAGTAATATTGTTAAAATAGCTACCTATTTATTTTATATGAAGGATCCAATGTAACTTAATAGTGCATTTATAAATACATAAGGAATAGGGAAATGTCTGTATGGCTTTGGAAAAATGTGGGTATGTTTTATTATATTTAACTACTTGCCCTCCAGTGGATTTACCCCCCTTCCTGACCAGGCCATTTTTTGCGTTACGGTGCTGCATTACTTTAACTGACAATTGCGCGGTCATGCAGCGATGCACCCAAATGAAATTTGGTTCTTTTTTTCCCACAAATAGAGCTTTCTTTCGGTGGTATTTGATCGCCTGTGTGTTTTAAATTTTTTGCACTATAAACAAAAAAGACTACATTTTGAGAAAAAAAACAATATTTTTGACATTTTGTTATTAAACATGTCCAGTAAAAAAAAATTTTTTAAAATCTAATTTTGTCATAAATTTAGGGCAAAATGTATTCTTCTCCATGTCTTTGCTAAAAAAAAAATCCCAATACGTGTAAATTAATTGGTTTACGTGAAAGTTATAACGTTTACAAAAGGCGCTATATATACTGGATTTTTTTTTTTACTAGTAATGGTGGCGATCAGTGACTTATAGCAGGACTGTGGGACTGCGGCAGGCATTCTGACATGGGGGGAACTGACTTGGTGTCACTGACATCCCCAATGACACCAATACAGTGATCAGTGCTAACAAGAAGCATTGAATCTGTACTAATGGCACTGGACAGGAAGGGGTTAACATCTGGGATGATCAAAGGGTTAACTGTGTGCTGTGTGTGTTTCGCTATGGGGGCTGTGTCTGTGCTTTCCACTTTAAGCACACTGCTTTGTATGAGAGCCATACAAAGCAGTGTGCTGGAGCTGACAGGGGAGAGAACTGTATTGTTTACATATAGTTCTCTCCCCTGTCGGTAATATTCAGTAATCACCGGGTTCTGGCTAGTGATCACTGGCTGGGACCCAGTGATTGACAGCTGAGGCCGCAAATGGCAGCACGGGTAGGGCGAGCCTGCGGCTCGCGCGTTCTCCTTACCTGGGAATGCAAATCATGTATATATACGTGATTTTGTGCACCCCTGTAGCAGTATTTCTGCTATAGGGCAGCTGTAAAGCGGTTAATAAAAGGTTGTTTTTAGTTTTAAAAAATGTGTCTGGTAGTGAATAAATAGCATGTGATCACAGTTTTGTTCGAATATGTGCTGTGATGCAGTGATTGTTAAAGTAAATTAATAAAGTATATCATATGGTAATTAAACTGTAACAATATACCTTCGCACTCACAGCAAACCATTATCTCAATTTTCCTGGAATTGGTGGATTATACAGCATTTTACACAAAGTGTCAACATTGTAAATGCATAAAAAGGTGCCATTTATTGTAGGGAAACTATATTGTTATGTTGTTAAGTGCACAAAACAGGAAAGTAATTTCCACATCTGTGAACAGATTTACCAATGTTTACTAGGGACAGGAGGTTACATTGACATTAAGAGAGTTCATGATGTGTAAAGAGTAGCCTTAGCCTTCTTAATGTTTTTTAAGTGTAAAGGCAAAACTTTTTTTTTTTTAATATAGATCAGATTTTTTTTTGCTTAGATTTAGAATATATTTTTTATTATATAGTATAGGAGGTTTTTTTTAGATTAGAATATGAATTAGTTAGGACCTTGTTGATTTTTTTGCTGTATGCTGAAGACTTCACTTCCCGACCAACAGAAAGTGACAGGAAATCTCTCTAAAAAGTAAAATCCCTTCTTAGCTGTCACTGCAAAAGATATCTCCAGTGAATGGGATTTCCCTTTCTCGCTCTGAAAATTCTAAAATGTTGGATTTCCTGTCACGTTCTGGAACCAATGGTCATTAGGATAATGTAAATGGACAGTATCCCCGGCAGGGACATGGCACCTACTTTAGAAGGATCTGAACATTTATATACAATATCCAATAGAAGAAAAACTTTGGAGGTTGCGCACACACTTTGTGAAGATCAGTTAAAATTTGTCAGCTGGCCGCAGCTATTTGTGACTATTCATACCACAGGTAATCACTGGCTGTACGAACAGCCAGAAATAACTGTGATCGCCAACAACCTGTCATTGAAGTGTATGGGCTCGGCAGCCGCAGCTAGCCACTCACACCTGTAAACATAGTATCAGGGATCAGTAGATTCCTGACGCTGCCACTCGCACTGTAGCAAAAGTACATGTAAATTCTACCAAATGGTTACCTTTTTGCTGCTATATTAAAGGATTGCTCTTGAAACAAAGATGTCCTGTCCTTTTTTCTGTGCTTTGATTGACATGTGACTGTAAAGGTAACTACGGGTTCCTATTTATGACAGGTGACAATGGGGTGAATATAGTGAAATTTCACTTTGCAAAGCATGCCCAATCTCGTACAAGGAAAAAAAAAACACAGCATTTTTGCTTCCACATGATTGGAGGATAGAAGTCAGCATAGCTTCACTTCCGCCTTCACTGAACTTTGTGGAAAATTGCAACGTCCCTTGTAAAGTGGACAGTCTACTTAGTAAATCAAATCCTATGCGTCCTCTGTGTCTAGGTCTGGAGCAGGAATATTTAGGAAGACTGTTATTCTGTAAAATGTTTTATTTGCACTGAAGTCAGTATTTCCTGCTACACAAGTCTCAGGGACGGACCTTCATAGGCAAGTATAATTTTAAAAATATATCATCTGTTTGTGATTATTGTAGTTCCTTTCAATCCATTTAGCAAGAAACCTTCAGTTCAGTCATTCAAAAGCACTCAGTCCCACATAGTGTAGAAAATACCAGTATAACAGAATGTAACATTGACAATACAGTGGGGGAAATTTTTAAAGAGTGGTGCAAGCACAATTTGCACCACTCTTCAAAACATACAAAATGGAGCAGATGCTGCTCCTAATTAAAAAAAGGAGTGCAAGTCCTTTTGTTAATTAGGAGTGATCAGTTCTCTATTCTGCCATGTGTGTGATGGGCAGCACTGAGAAGGGAGAGCTAGAGCGCCATGCTTTTGATCTCCCTTCTCCTCGCCCAACTCAGAGTGGAATGGAGGCGGAGGGTTGTAAGTTGTACACGTTCTGCTCATGTAGTGTAATCACTGCACAGGCAGAGAGAGAGTGTCAGTAGACAGCTCACATCCCATATGACAAGGTTGCATCTGGTAGGAATATGTTGCAGTTTTCTATATGGAACAGTGCCAAATGCCCTGTTACTTAGGTGCAGACCTGCACTAGTTTTCATTTCACTATGAAATAGGTAAGAATGGTGCAGATTCATGTTCCTGACAGGCCTAGTTCTATCTGCTTAGTAAAAAGGGAGAACATCACTCCTGGAAACATTTTGTTGCAGGAAACGTACTTAATTCCCTGGAATTCTCTGGAATGTGTGAGAGCACTCTACAACACCATTGCCATTCTCATACAGTTTTATAAAAGTATTTAAATATATTGTTATTATTTAATTTATTATTATTATGTTTTACAGTCACTGGATTTGATCTGTGGGGATCTGTGTTTGCCACTGGCATTGTCTGCACCTTTTACTGCACATTGGTAAGTATTCAACTTCATTTCGATATGCAGTTAGGCTTTATAACTAAGGTACCCTCCTAACCGGAACCTGTGACTGGACAGTGAAGGGAGCAGCAGCAGACCAATGAGCATATCCTTTTGCCCACACTACTCTCTCCTCCTGTCAGCATGATTTTCATTAGCACTTGTTAGCATACCTTATTGGCTTCTAGTACTACCCCTTCTCAGTCTGAGTTCAGCTGCTCAGGAGATTACAATAAGCCACCACCACGTCAACTCCAGGTATTTACAGCACACTTGAATCTGCCTAGAGTTGAAGTGGTTGTAAAGGCTAATTTTGTTTTTGCTAAAATAATCAACATGGTAAACTTACCTACTCTGCACATAAGTGTTGCACTTCCTCTTCTGGGGTCCCCCGACTGCACGCCCCCCACATCCTCCTCACAGTATTTGTTTGACAACAGCAGGAGCCAATGTTGCTCCTACAAACGTGCTTCAAATGCACTGCACTTCACCGCACTGTTCTCCTTTAAAAAAAAAATATTTTACTGAATATTATAACTTGTCTTTCCCCATTCCACTTCCTGGATCTGTTCATGTGGTGTGTGGAGAGCCAGGGTACAGCCATAATGGCATACAGGCCACCTATAAATACAGAGGACTTCACAATGCTCCTGGAATGCCTTGTGCTCTGTGACCCCAAACATAAGCATTATAAGGACAAGAAAAGAAAAAGGCAGATCTGGGAGAAAAATTACAGCAAGAATTTGCCCAGATGATGAAGAAATGGACATAGACAGAAAGCAGAACACTGGTAAGTTGATTACTGCATGTGTTTATCAGGATAGCCATATCAGTTATAAATTCTTCCAGAACACAGTGCAGTTATCACATGGACCTCCAGTGATGATATGGACCCCTGTTCTGTCTGTACCAATGTTGGGACATGCTTTTCTCTACAAACTACGAAGAAATAGGGACCTCAAAGGAAATAGAAGAAAGCCAAGCCCAAAATGCATAGAAAAATGCCCTGCAACTGTATGATAAATGCAGTGCAATACGCAAGCAAACACAGAAACGCACAGCCAGCGCGCATCAAGCGTAAACATGTAGTCAAAAATGCTCAGTTATGTGTATTTTCTGGTGAGAATGGGTTCGAAAAGTATTTGGTTTGCACATGTCCTGCTCAGGGGCGGACTGACAACTCATGGGGCCCCCGGGCAATAGGGGATCATGGGGCCCCTGTGTCCTTGCCCAAACTCAAAAAAGCCTATGAAAAAGGTACCAGGGGCATCTCATGGGGCCCGCTACTGACCCCGGGGCCTCGGGCAGTGCCTGAGTTTCCAAATGGTCAGTCCGCCCCTGGTTCTGCCATATAAAGTTAAGAAACTAGAAATCTAGTACAATAAATTTCAAAAACTAGAGATCTAGTTGAGTTCAAGGGCAGAGCCAACACTATGGAGTTGAGATACTAAAGTCGAATAGACACTTTGTGAATGAAGTGAGACTCTGCTGACTTCCATCATCCAATCACATACAGGTAAAAACAGTTTCTTTGTTTTTCCTTATATTTTATTGGGTATTCTTTTCAAAGTGTAACTTCACCACATTCTCTAAGCTCTGGGGAAAATGTCATTGTAAAGTGCAACTTCCTTAGCAAAGTGAACAGCCTATTTGCCTTTAGTAAGTCAACCCTTATCACTCCAGTTTATTACCACCTACAATTCTCTAGGAGAGACTACATGAAGCCAGGCTGAAATACAATTATTTCACCTGTTACAATAATCCACTAAGTCTATTGGATATCTAGATACCTTAGGTGGTGTACTTTCAATACACATATTTTATACTACATGAGGTCAATATATCTGGTAAACCGCTTCATTTGTTTTTTCGGTGAAGGCAACAGTGCTATTTGGTGCAATTGTATTCATGGCTGAATCTAGGGGGGTGCTGGGGTGGGCTATGCTCCCCAGATTTTAGTTGTGTTCCCCCCCCTCCCAAAGCCAACCCTAACCTGCTACTATACTGCCCTAACCTGCCACTGTGCTGTCCTAATCTGACACTATACAACCCTAATCTGATACTTTCCAGCTCTAGTTTGACACTATACTGTCCTAGCCTGACACTATATTGTCCTTGACTGACACTATACTGATCTCAGGTATGCATTGTGTGGGGATGAGGTGCTCCTGTGCCTGTGCCCAGGCTGTGACCAGTGAAGGGATGGCAGAAGGAGCTGTGCCCCTGTCCTCTGCCCTGCCAGCAATGACCCGTGTCCTCTACCCTGATGACCTCCAATCCTCTGCCCCCCTTACATTTTTTACTGCACCCCATATCGGACAGGCCAGATCTGGCCCTGATTGTATCCTTTAAATACTCACTTATGAAGAGGCAATTCTTGCACTGTGGTGTACTGTATATGTCTCTTTATCAGGTAAACACTCTGTTGTAGCTTATTTGGCTTCCATTACATAAAGAATATAAAGAACATTATTTCAGTGGTTCAATGTATGGTGTTTTTTTTTCTTGTTTGTTTGTAGACGTTGAAATGATTCGATCTGTGAGCTGCTTTTAGTATTAAAGTGCAGGTTTATTTATAGTTATTTGTATACAGTAGCTTACTTTCCAATAATTGACTTTTTCCTCTGTGGATTCTAACCTGAAATTACATTGCTATTGTTATGTAATCAGTGCTATTCTTTTTACTTAGGGAGGGCTCAAGGCGGTTGTATGGACAGATGCTTTTCAGATGGTTGTGATGGTTGTTGGATTTTTATCAGTTCTTGTTGAGGGCACCATCCAAAATGGAGGTCCAAGCGAAGTATGGAAGACAGCTATGAACGCATATGGAACACGCTTGGACATTGTTGAGTAAATATCAAGCAAAGATAATTAATTTCTAACGGACTTCAAAGTTAAGCTGAACAAAATAATAATGAAAAGAATAAATGTTAAATAACATTTTTTTTTTTGTTTAATAACATATTTAAATTGAAATTATGATAAGACGATGGTGTTTCAGAGGAGATACAAATGCAGAAGCTGGTTTTACTTTAATTAATTGCTGTCATTTCTGAATAAGTACAGTGGGGATTGAAAGTTTGGGCACCCCAGCTAAAAATTTGTATTAATGTGCATAAAGAAGCCAAGGAAAGATGGAAAAATCTCCAAAAGGCATCAAATTACAGATTAGACATTCTTATAATATGTCAACAAAAGTTAGATTTTATTTCCATCATTTACACTTTCAAAATAGCGGAAAACAAAAAAATGGCATCTGCAAAAGTTTGGGCACCCTGCAGAGTTAATATCTTGTACTGCCCCCTTTGGCAAGTATCACAGCTTGTAAAACGCTTTTTGTAGCCAGCCAAGAGTCTTTCAATTCTTGTTTGAGGTATCTTTGCCCATACTTCCTTACAAAAGTCTTCCAGTTCTTTGAGATTTCTGGGCTGTCTGTCACGCATTGCTCTTTTAAGGTCTATCCATAGATTTTCAATTATGTTGAGGTCAGGAGATTGTGAAGGCCATGGCAAAACCTTCAGTTTACGCCTCTTGATGTAATCCCCCGTGGATTTTGAGGTGTGTTTAGGATCATTATCTATTTGTAGAAGCCATCCTCTCTTTAACTTCAGCTTTTTCACAGATGGCATCAAGTTACCATCCAAAATTTGCTGAAATTTTATTGAATCCATTTTTTCCTTCTACTCGTGAGATGTTCCCTGTGCCACTGGCTGCAACACAACCCCAAAGCATGATTGATCCAACCCCATGCTAAACAGTTGGACAGAGGTTCTTTTCATTAAATTCTGTGCCCCTTCTTCTGCAAACGTACCTTTGCTCATTCCGGCCAAAAAAAGTTCAATTTTAACCTCATCGGTCCACAGAACTTGTTTCCAAAATGCATCAGGCTTGTCTATATGTTCATTTGCAAAGTTCAAACGATGATTTTTGTGCTGAGGACGTAGAAGAGGTTTTCTTCTGATGACTCTTCCATGAAGACCATATTTGTACAATTATCTCTTTATAGTGGAATAGAGTACCACAACTCCAGTGTCTGCCAGATCTTTCTGGAGGGATCGTGCAGTCAAACGTGGGTTTTGAATTGTTTTTCTCACAATCCTGCGAGCTGTTCTGTCTGATATTTTTCTTGTTCTTCCAGATCTTGCTTTAACTTCCACTGTTCCTGATGACTACCATTTCTTAAATACATTCCGAACAGAGGATATTGACATCTGAAAATGCTTTGCTATCTTCTTGATAGCCTTCTCCAGCTTTGTGAGCGTCAACTATTTTCAGTTTCAGTTTTCTAGACAACTGCTTAGAAGAACCCATGGTGCTGATTGTTGGGGCAAGGGTCAGATGAGTCTGGGCATTTAAAACCTTTGAGATTGACATCACCTGGTCTGCCCAGACGATGATTGAGAACAATCCATGACACTGGCAGGTCTCAGCTTGGCAAAGGGGGCAGTGCATGCTATAAATTCTGCAGGGTGCCCAAACATTTGCAGACGCAATTTTTTTTGTTTTCTGTTATTTTGAAAGTGTAAATGATGGAAATAAAATCTAACTTTTGTTGACATATTATAAGAATGTCTAATCTGTTATTTGATGCCTTTTGGAGATTTTTCCATCTTTCCTTGGCTTCTTTATGCACATTAATACAAATTTTTAGCTGGGGTGCCCACACTTTCGATCCCCACTGTAGTTGAAAATCTGAAGCTTTTTCCAGAGGCCCCAGTGAAGAAGCCATCTACATGCAAGCCTGCAAGGAGGGGCCTTCTCTATTAAGTGTTTACGGAGAAATATGCAATGCATGTGCAGACCCGGGGACCTATTGGCTCATAGGAAGCTGAGATCGTGGCTTGCTAAGCATAGAGTCAATTGCTCCTGGTTTACGTCACCTATAAATTGAAGTCTGTAGTTCATGGTACAGATAGCATGGGGAGAGTGAGTGTGTTGTTAGGATTTAAATAGATGAAAGTATTGACATCCTGAACTGCAATCTGTCTAGACAGTTCAGACAGTGTTGTGGTGTCAGATTTACCTAAAAAGACACCATAATTACTTTTAAACTGTATATTTTATTACTACTTTTTTAAATATATGTATAATAATCACCATTAGCATCTCTAGTGAGTCTAACCTACACTATTCTGTCAAGGGAGTCTATTGCAATCTTCAGCATCCAAAACTCCCAGTTGTGACTGATGCCTGTGTCTACCCCCTGCCTACTGTGCCCCTCTTCCCCCTCCAGCCGCTACAGTATTAGCATGTCTTTGTAATGTAATGACAGTAACTCTTTAAAGGGTTGGTTCACCTTCAGAAATGAACTCCCTACACCCTATCAACCCCCTGTACTTACCTCAATGGGTGATACAGTTTTATCACCCACGCAGCCCAGTTCAGCAGCCCTAGCATTTGAAAACCATGCTGTGCTTCTTTAGGAACACAGGCATGGACCAGAGCGGTTCTGATTAGCCAGTGCCAGTTCTGATCAATCTTAATTGCTCTGATCCATCTCGGTTTCCCTAGGGAAAAAAGAGGAAGAAGAGCATGGTTTTCAAACTCCAGGTCCTGGGCTGCATGCAAAGTAATACTCTATAACTCAAGGAGGTAAGTACAGAGAGCACCATAGGTGTATAGTGTCAAATCAACTTTTCATTTTTCATCCCTTGTTAACAGCTTAATGAGCAGGGCAGGGATGAGTCACTGGTTGTTAGGACGCCAGCAAGTGTCAGCTCCCTGACAACCGGCATCTCCAAGCTGGAACTGTCACATTTAGCAGTGGTAGGAATGTCATGGTGGAAACCTCCAGCTCTCGCTGCAGCCAGAGGTCCAGTATGCAGTGAAAAAGGTGCAAATAATGTGTTAAATACCACAAAATAAAAAAATTAACACATGCAGTATTTAACACTTTATGAATGAATTGCTTGCTTCCTAGATACCGCATGAGTTTTTTTTTAACACAAAAATTATTTTACTATATCTCTATGTGAACTGACTTATGTATCCCATCTGGGAAATTTCCTTTCACTTCCTGTACTGGGTATAGCTGATAACACTCTTTGAGATTCCAATGTAGCAGAGGCAGAGGGCACAGGAAGTTTTTAGCTAACTGGATTATGAGCTTGATATAGCAAAATGATTTCAACTGAATATTTAAAGTGGTTATATTAGCTGTTTTTATTCCTAAAATATCAAACATGTTATACTGATGTAATGCCCTCCAAGTTAGCTGGATAGGCTGCTTCTTGTTTTGTTTTTTTAGACAGAAGCTGAGCAGCAACCTGGGATGAGTCAGCCTATGAGTGAGGCAGGAGTTCACCTCAAGTCAAGCTAGGAGGCTCTAACAGGTCAGGCCTTCTGGAGCCCTTTCACCTCTCCAGAATCTTGAGAACTTTCTGGAGAAGGGGTGGAGGTGGGAAGGAGGTCCACATCTGCATGTTTGATGGACCCTGGCCAATCCCCTGGCAGGAGGCTGAGCATGGTGTCTAGGGCAACCCTCAAATTTGGCAGAGCCTAGGGAGCAGGGGCAAGGTGTCGGGTGGAAGATGGAGTGAGGATCTGGAGTTTGGAGCCCGGGAAGGGTCCCCAGGGAGGGAGGCTACAGGCAGCTTGCTGGAGAAGAGGGACTCTACTGCTACACCGTCTCCTAGGGAGGACATCCTGAGCAGCAGGGAATGAGCCAGCCCAGCAAAAGGCCTGAAGGCGGCCACCAACCCACCAAGCTGACAGGAAAGGACAGTGTGAGTACTCTTGCACCCCCTGGGCCAGATAAGGGTAGAGAGTAGTCAGGTGGAAAACCCAACTAGCTTCTCATCCGAGACTGCTATTTTAAAATGGCAGCTTCTGGGCCCCCTTGCCCAGGGATACCCTCAAGGCAACTTGTTGCTGTTCATATTTTAGTGCATAGTTGCTAAGGTGAGTGTCCTCAAATTTTACAGTGTCTCTGGCATCCCATATATCCTTAGATCCCAACCAAGTTCTTAACCCCTCAATAAAATCACAAAACCAAGCACAATGACTGTTCTTTGACTCCAGTGTGTAAAATATATGTTGCCTGGCTGTGCACAACTTAAGGCGGACCCAAAACTCAGCAACTCCTAAGGGGGAAGTGCTGCACTTACCTGCACTGTAAAAAGTAATTGCACAGAGCAGCTCCAAACCTCCTCTTCTGGGTTCCCCCACCAATGCTTTCTGCTCCTCTTTTTCTGTGTCTGCCACCATAGGAAGCTTCTTCCTATGGGAGCAGCTGTGCAGGCTTGCTCCAGAGCTGGCCTGTATGCATCCATAGACACATACAGCGTGGCTCGGCCCACGCCCCATTCTTTGCTCAAGAAATGTGATTGACAGCAGCAGGAACCAATGGCTTCCATTTTTGCCTCTGTGTCTTGTAAATGCAGGGAAAGAGTATTTGGGAAGGGGGGCATACTGCTACTGGAACTATTTTTACCTTAATAAACAAAATTTTGACATTAGAACCACTTTAACATACTCAAAAGGAACAAATAAGGGAAGTTCCTATATTTTAGCTTCAACTTCAAATTATTATTATTATAATACAGGATTTATATAGAGACAACAGTTTGCACAGCACTTTACAAAATGAAGGTAGACATTACAGGTACAATACAATTTGGTAGAAGAGGAAACAGAGAGCCCTGCTCATTAGAGCTTACAATCTAGGAGATCAAGTGAATGACATATTGTTTTATGTTTTTGTGTATATTGTGAAGAGTTTTTAAGAAATTTCACTGTGAACTGTTTGCAATGACAATAAATCTCATTTTGGCTTATCTTATCTTATTTTAGCTTACCTAATGTATTATTATTTTTTATAGTTTCAGTGTAGATCCACTAAGAAGACATACCTTCTGGACTATTGCGGTTGGAGGGACATTTACATGGCTAGGTATTTATGGGGTCAACCAGTCAACTATTCAGAGATGCATTTCCTGCAAATCAGAAAAAAACATGCAAAACTGTAAGTTTTTACATCTTTAGATCTTCTGAAACCACTTGACAAAACATACCTTAGTGACCTGTAACTCAATCAAGCATATACTATAAGAATTATTTTCAAATATCTGTTTTTTAAGTAAGATTCCTTATGCCGCACCAAAATGTTTTACTGCGTTATTGTTAATGGTTTGTGCTGTTACTTTTCAAACAGAAAGAGAAAAAATCTATCATTTACCCCAATGTAAACACATAAAAACAATATATTTTATTTCATCTCTTATATCATTTTCTGTGCATTTTTCTGAGTGCCCAGGTCCAAAAATGGGGTTGATATGAAATAGGTTTGAGTGGCGTAATTCAGGCAAATTTTAAATTACTAAAAAATACCAAATTGAAAATTTCTGCCAGGTAAATTCGTTTAGGTGTGTTTTTTTTTTTGGGGGGGTGTATTGAGGGTAGATTTGTTTATTCCATATGTCCAGTTTTAGCTGGATATATACTTTAGCTATATCAAAACTGCATTTTTTCATATAGGTTTGTAGAGCCAAATCAGGAAAATAATCATATAGGCAGATTAAAAAAAACAACTCATCTACTCTATAGTCTTTGGCTAACAAAGCTTGTGGCCTTTCTTCCAGAAGACTTTCTACACAGAATGATAGTCACTCTTATATTGATATGGGAGGAATTTTGTTTTGTATATAATTAATGTTACAATCTTACCAACATATGCCATAAATAGCACTTACATATAGAGCACAGTACACTACATTAGTCTAGGATAGAACAAATTGTGCAAAATTGTTTTACAGCTGTAAATTATCTCTGGCAGATTCCAATTATTAAAATTCAGTTTGCTGTCATTTCCAGATAATGAATAGGGTCTTATCTTTACTTAAAAGCTTGAACTCTTTCTGCTGCATCTGTAACTTTCTGTCTAGATTAGATTCTGCTCACTTGACAAATATAAAGATAAACTACAAAAGAATAATGGTGATATTGTAATTTTATTATTGATAATACAAAAAAATGTATATAAACAATTTAATACCCATGGTAGATATGCATGGTAGACATGCAATCATTTAACAAAGACAATGAAGTTGGTTGGGGCACGTAAACAGAATGATCCATTCATTTTTATAAGCTGGGGAATATTTTGCATCCTAAGTAAAAAGAATCCATAATGCAAATGGACAGTCTAACCATGTGTTAACATTGATGTGTAGATCCAATACAATTCCGCCAGGGATACCACAATCATCTTTCAGCTCTTAACAAAAGATGGCCTAAAAAACACGTGCCTTTTCTGCATTCATTGATCATGAAAAAAGCACCTCCAGCAGGAAGAATCAGACACCTTTTGCATTACTAAGCCATGAATGTGGGAATGGGATTTTTGTTCTGCTATAGTTTCATAGTGTAGCTAGGTTCTGGGCTACAGCAATATGGAGATGGAGGCATTGCCTTTTATTCTTCTGTTCTCCTGCCCCCCAGGGGCGGACTGACCATTTGGAAACTCGGGCACTGCCCGAGTGCCCGGGGTCAGTAGGGGGCCCCATGAGATGCCCCTGGTACCTTTTTTCACAGGCTTTTTTGAGTTTGGGCAAGGACACAGGGGCTCCATGATCCCCTATTGCCCGGGGGCCCCATGAGTTGTCAGTCCACCCCTGCTGCCCCCTCTACTACCATCCTCTTCTTTATGACAGTGCATAGCCAGTCGGTCTAGGACTAGCATCACTGTCATAACCGCGCTCTGGCAGTAAAGTTCCAGCACTCAGTAGATTAACTATATTACTGCTCACTGCTGCATTTGAGGTGGTCTTGCTATTATTTATTCTGATCTGGATGCCAAATGTAATCTTGTGCCTAGTCCTTACTGCTAATCACTTTGTATGCTAAGTTGTGTTATTACCATTGTTAATCCGTTTTATGCTTGCCTAGCTACCAAGCATATTGGGTGACAGTATATAAAGTTTGCCTTTACTACTTGGTTTGGTGCCTGGTTTCTTTGGTATAGTGCAACTATTGAGTACTAAGTATTACTTTCAGTTATATCCTGTAATATTGTATGTTTATACACTCAACGTGGTGTGTTAGAGGGGCTGAGGTTTTTTGGAATAGTTCGGGGCAAAGAACAGTGGACCCATCTTAATCTGCGGCTCCTATGGTTGTAGCGCTACACTTGAGAAGTAAGAAACCAGCAATTTACCCAATCTGCCAATATCAGCTGACCTAACAGAAACGTTCTAATTAAAAAAGCTGAATCAGTTTAAGAACTGTGTCTCATTGTAGCTCACAGGTGTCAAACTTCCTCCCTCCAGTTGTCAAGGAACTACAAGTTACATCATACCTTTGCCGTTGGGAGTCATGCTTGGAATTGTCAGCCTGGCAATGCCTCATGGGATTTGTAGTTCTGCAGCAGCTGGAGGGCCGCAGATTGACACCCTGTAGCTAATACAATAATAGGTGATTATTCAATAAGATAAAATCCATTTCTTTAAAAGACATCAATATAATTTTGGAAACTAAGCTAATTGTCTTTGCTTAAAAAAAAAAAAAAAAAAAAATATATATATATATATATATATATATATATATATATATAAAAGAAACAGAGATTCCATTGAAATAGTTTAAGATCCTCAAAGAATCTTTAATTTATTAAAATAAACATACTGTACTCACAAAACTGCTATAAAGTCACAAAAAAAGAAAAGAGGTCCGGACGGCTACACTCCAATTAATCCACTTTATTGAACAATGCATAAAACCAATGACAAATAGTGCAAATACAGTGGGGGACTAGCAGGTAGATGCATTTCACAGTAAGAACAGCATTTAAACATTACATCTATAAAGTCACACTTCTCACATAATTTGCATAAGAAACATTGCACTTCTTTGTTCATTAGTGCTTCATTCGAAGATCAAACTCTAATATCCTTTCTAAAATGTTTCGAGGCAACACCTCTTCATCAAGGCCCTGTGAACGGATGCATTCAACAGTAGATGAGGGGTTCCTTAAAAACTTATGTGAGAAGCACATCTTGATATCACTTTTGTGATATAATATATATATAATATATATATATATTATAGATTGTTTAAAGGATCTCACATGATGCCAGTGTGCTTTTCAGTTTCTTTTACAGTTTTTCTGAGGATTTCCCGCTCTGGAGAGAAGTGCTAAGAAGTGGTTGTTTTTTTCTACTGCATTATGTTAAAGAAAAAGACTGCTAATTAGAACTTTGACAGACATAGATTTATAGATTATATTGCTGTTGAGCGCTGACATTAGTTTATTAATTTTGTGTATGTATATAAATATATTATGCTGATCCTATACTTCTTCTTTCAGAGCCTTATATCTTAACCTGGTAGGACTGTGGGTGATCTTGGTTTGCGCTGTGTTCTCTCTGGCTTGGTCATGTATGCACACTACCAAGGTTGTGATCCTTGGACTGCAGGATTTATAAGTGCTCCTGACCAGGTACATGGTCAGCAAAACTTTAGCACAGTAAAAGTTTTGCTTCTTCTCCATTTAACTCTGAGATTTCCACTGTGCATACTTAAGCAATTATTAACCTTACATCTGGCCTTTGCACTAAGAAATGAAGACTTTTTTTTACACTAATACACCACTCTGCAAACACACACATTTTATATTATATATAAAATAAAAAAGAATATAATCAAAAAGTTAATTTATTTCAGTAATTCAATTCAATAAGTAAAAGTCATATACTATATAGATTCATTACACACAGAAAAAGTCCAATATTGTAGACTCATGGGGGTTTATTTACTAAAGCTGGAGAGTCCAAAATCAGACTCCCTTCTGCATAGAAACCAATCAGCTTCCAGGTTTCATTGCCAAAGCTTCACTGAACAAGCTGAGGTTAGAAGCTGATTGGTTTCTATGCAGAAGGGAGTCTGATTTTGGACTCTCCAGCTTTAGTAATAAAACCCCATGGTGTCACACTCTAATCAGGTAATTAACTCAAAACACCTGTAAAGGTTTCCTGGGCCTTTAAATGGTCTCTCTCTCTGGTTCAGTAGGTTACACAATCATGGGGAAGACTTCTGACTTGACAGTTGTCCAGAAGACACTTATTGACACCCTCCACAATGAGGGTAAATTACAAAAGGTAATGGCTAAAGTAGTTGGCTGTTCACAGATTGCTGTATCCAAGCATATTAATGGAAAGTTGAATGGAAGGAAAAAGAGTGGTAGAAAAAGGTGCACAAACAACAGAGATAACCACAGCTTTGAGAGGACTGTGAAGCAAAGGCCATTCAAGAATTTGGGGGAGATTCACAAAGAGTGGACTACGCCTGGTGTCAGATCTTCAAGAGCCACCACACACAGACGTATCCAGGACATGGGCTACAACTGTCGCATTTCTTGTGCCAAGCCATTCTTTAACCAGAGACAACGTCAGAAGTGTCTTTACTGGGGTAAGGAGAAGGACTGGACTGTTGCTCAGTGGTCCAAAGTCCTCTTTTCGGATGAAAATACATTTTGCATTTCATTTAGAAATCAAGGTCTGAAGGACGAGGAGGAGGGGCACAGAATCCAAGTTGCACGAGGTCCAGTGTGACGTTTTCACATTCAGTCATGATTTGGGGAGCCACGTCATCTGCTGGTGGTGGTCCACTGTGTTTTATCAAGTCCAAAGTAAGCGCAGCCCTCTACCAAGATATATAGCACTTATAGAGCACTTCATGCTTCCCTCTGCTGACCAGCTATATGAAGATGGTGATTTCATTTTTCGATTGGCCAGCAAACTCACCTGACCTAAACCTCATAGAGAATATATGAAAGATGAGAGACACCAGACCCAACAATGCAAACAAGCTGAAACCCACTATCAAAGCAACCTGGGCTTCCATAACACCTCAGCAGTGCCACAGGCTGATCGCCTCCATGCGATGCCGCATTCATGTAGTAATTCATGCAAAAGGAGCCTCGACCAAGTATTGAGTGCATGCTATACTGTACATGGACATACTTTTCAGTAAGCCAACATTTCTGTATGAAAAATCCTTTTGTAATATTTTAATTTTCTGAGTTACTGAATTTTGGTTTTCACTAGCTGTAAGCCATTATCATCAAAATTAAAATAAATAAATGCTTGAAATATATCACTCTTTGTGGAACAAATCTATATAAAATATAAGTTTCACTTTTTGAATTGAATTACTGAAATAAATTAACATTTTGATGATATTCTAATTTATTGAGATGCACCTGTATATTTAGATAGATAGATAGATAGATAGATAGTATATATTGGTTGATGTAGCCTTATGAGCTCAGAATTTAGTACTGTGTTCCTTATGTTTAAATACTGGTACTGGTACCCACAAACACCCTTCCAGCTCTGGCTCCTATTTTATTAAATTCTGTGTGTACAAAATCCAGCAGAGTTTGTCTCTCTCTGAGTTATTGCATGCAAAGGTTTATGTTAGCTGTTATTTTTTTTAGTGCAATAACTCTTAACAATGGAACAAAAGTCTTCTTTACTAATCCTCCATCTATAAACAGAGATGTTATTGCTATAAGTATGCCATGCCTTATCTTTGTTGCCTGCATGAAAAAGGCCAATATTAAAAGTAACTTTCAAGATATAAATATTGGACCTTAAATTGCTGATATTTCTTTGAAGGTGCAAACCCCGGGACAATGATTTTTATCTTTCCTTGGCTACATACTGTGGCTCTGACCCTGCACAAGCATGCATGTCAGATACCTCAACAATTCACAGGTTTCCTGCTTGTCCTGATAAACGCACAACTACACTGCATCTGAGCACCATAAACCTAAAATGCTATTTATTTTGTTTTTAATATTCAAAGCAAACCCCACTGACAATAGAATGTAGACAAAACAAGTGCTGGTTAAAAAAAATGGACAAGGTCCTCTTTCCCCACAACTCTGGGCGGTAGTTGTGGGGGGTGACTTATAGGAATCTGGAAGCCCCTTTAACAAAGATCCTGCCCCCCACCAAGTGAATAAGTATGGGAAACATAGAACCCCTAGTCATTCACCAATAAAATGGCAAAAGTAAATAAAAACCCCAGAGACAGTGTTTGACAAGTCCTATATGAAAATAAATAAATAAATAAATGTGCCCCAAAGTAGATCCAACATCAATCATGATAAGTGCCAACCCGTATGAACAGAAACGTGACCCCACAACCATGTTTACCTGTCATTCAGCAAGTGGCATATCTCATGGAGAAACACTCGCCAAATGACAGGTAAACATGGGGCGGGGTCACCTGGTGACATCACCAGGTTACCCCGTCCCTATGTTTACCTGTCAGTCTGCAAGTGTCTTTCCACGGGACACATCATGTTTGACGGGCAGTGGGGTTTTTTTTTTCGGGTTTTTTTCATGCGGTTCAGCGTTCTTCGTGATTTGGGGGACATTTGTTTTTGGGAGGTTTTTTAATAAAGGACTTGTCAAAAACTGACATTTTTTGGGGTGAATGAGTAGGGGAACTATGTACCCCTACTCATTCACATGGGGTGCAGGATATGGGGGCCCCCTTGTTAAAGTCGCCTCTGCATCCCCAAAACCATTGCCTAGGGTTGTGGGGAAGAGGCTTTTGTCCTCATCAACATGATTTGGGGGGCATTTATTTTGTGTATTTTTTTAATGAGGGACTTGTCAAAAACTGACTTTTTTGTGAATGAGTAGGGGTACTACGTACCCCTACTCATTCACATAGGGGGACATGATCTGGGGGCCCCCTTGTTAAAGTCACACCTGCATCCCCAAAAACACTGCCCAGGGTTGTGGGGAAGAGCCCTTTGTCCTCATCAACATAGGGACAAGGTGCTGTGGGGGGGAGCCCCCCTCCCCAAAAGCACCCACCCATATGAGGGCTTGTGGCCTGGTATGGTTCAGAGGGGGCGCTAACTCATACCCCCCTCCCTTTCCTTGCCTGCAGGGGTGCATGCTCAGATAAGGGTGTGGTATAGATATTGGGGGGGAATACCATAATTTTAAAAAACCTAATTTGGAATGGGATTCCCCTTAGAATCCATACCAAATATAAGGGTCTGGCATAGATTTGGGGGGGACCCCATGCAACTTTTTTTTTTAATTTTGGAGTGGGGTTCCCCTCAAAACCTACAGCAGACCCGAAGGGCCTGGTATGAATTGGGGGGGAAACCCACTCTGTTTTAAAAATAAAATAAAAAATTAACCAACATTTTACATTCCGTTGTTAGCTGGGAATCTGTCCACTCCTTAACAACCAGTTATTCACAATGAATTTGGATCCGTCCAAAAATAGAATAAAGAATTTGGAAAAGTTTTCAAATCCACCAGCTCTAATATGCAAAATGAATCCCAGATATGAACAGGACTAGCACAACGAAAATTAATAAACAAAATATCAACCTAATGAATGCATCTGACATGAAACGAAAACGAAAATTTCTTTTGTGCACATGTCCAAGAAACAGTGTGCAGTGGCAGTGGTTTGTTTGTCAACAATCCCTATGTGATCGCCATGACTGGCCGTCATAGTGATCACCTAATCAGGAACTATGCAGCTTGTTTCCCAATTGTTAGTTTGAACATGATACATTGGCATGGCATTAATGGCATGGTACTTACCATATGTGTATACAACGCAAGTATAGTTCCATCTTTAATAATCTTATAAATCAAATTATTTTATATACAGTAGATAGGACAAGTGTCTAATCAAAATTTCTATTTTGCAGATGATGCCCTACTTTGTCATGAACTTATTTGAAAAAATGCCTGGACTTCCGGGTCTCTTTGTGGCATGTGCTTTTAGTGGTACATTGAGGTAACCATTCAGTGTTTTAAAATAATTATTATTATATCTGTTAAATAAAGGTAGGATGCAGATCTTATGTTTGCTGGTAATACATATTTGGGCTAATTTGCCAAAAAAGAGTTGAGAATAATACATTTTCACAATAAAGGTTGTGTTTTTTTCGAATATTCCCTTCAATTATCTAAATATGTGCAGATACAATATGTAACCAGGAATTGCTTTTCACATTATTGGATAACTGAAGTGAATATTCAAACAAATTCAAACAAATTCATTGTATGAAGATTCTCAACTAATTTAGTAAATCAGCCTCAATGTTGTAGAGTCGCTCGGTCTGCTGCTTGTTTCTCTGTCTTCTTCTTTTCTAATTAAAAGGAACTTGTCGAAATATGTATGATAGGCTAGATTTGGTCCTGATATAAACAAAGTAGCTGGAAGTTAGAATGACCGAATGGCTGAGCTCCTGTTACTTTGTATGAACGATGTACACTTACCCACAGCCTTGGAATCCCAGTGATGACAAACGCCAAAGGGATGTCATGACATAGCAGAGTAGAATTGGTATATTTTCAGGTAGAGATAGATGAAGGAACAGAACTTTTTACCAAGATTTAAAGATACTCTGTCACCACACTTTCCAATATCTACCACA